AAAAAAAAAAAAAAAAAAAAAAAAAAAAAAAAAAAAAAGCTGAATTAGTCCGAAATCGTTCTTCTACGTTGTTCTTCTGTTCAAAACTCTCGTGCGCATCACTCACTCACTCACTTACTCATCCCCATAACGCCGGCTGGCGCAAAGCGCGAGCATATTGGCTTATTAATGCAGATCATCAATGAGCAGAAAGACGGGTAAATTTTCTTGCGCGACCACCTTCTTAGTTTGTTATCGATAAGCTCTTGTGGAATTGTAGCTACTTTTGAGAATGTCATCTGATGGCGTTTTTATTATTATTATTGATGAAAGGACAGAAGTAACAATTGTTGAAAACGGTTCGTGAACAACAATATTTTTCGAAAATGTCATCTCCTGACTGCGAGTATTCAATGCTTAGATGCCACACAAACTTAACTATGGGCGCTTTCCATCGGACAAAACATTCTGGAATTCTGGAAATTTCCAGAGCCGAATGAAACAGCACTTTGCGGAATTTTCCAGAAAAGAGGACAACCTCGCGAGGTATACCCGAATTTTCGTAAACTTCTTACCAGGAATTTTCGTTCCGTTTGATTTTCCTCCCCGAATTTCGGTTGAGTGGTTCGCATTTCAGAAACTGAACAATTCTCGGATTTTTCGGAAACTTCCTAAGGAAATTTTCGTACCATTTGTCTCTGTCGAAAGTTGCGGAATTTTGGTTGAGTGTAAAGCGCTTTATTAGTAGCAATGGAACAGGGCTCTCAGTACAGTGTGCAGTACAGTACAGTACAGTAAAGAAATACTGCTTATTAGCGCGCGCTTCTTTAATAACTTCTTTAAATGAAATGAACTTTTTCTTCAGCTCCGCCTGCATTTACGGGTTAATCCGCTGTATTAGTGGCATGGTAACCCTTTTTAGAGGGCGTGTTTAAATGTGGCTAAATATAATTTAGGCAAAGTTAAACTCGAACCAATGCAGCCAGCAGTTTCTCCTTTGACAGTACGTGACCTGCGGGGCGCCCCTCAGGGGATTTGCAGGGTTGTTGTGCTTCACCGCACTACATGTGCAGTTCAGTTAGCTGATCTTTGCGGATCATTTGCAGTTTGTGTTAGCAAATCTTTGCGGGTTTTTAAAACACGAAATGGTGAAATGATACTACGGTTAGCCTAAATAGCGCTTAGGTTAGCCAAAATATCACTGACCCGACAGTGGTTAGATCTCAATAATTGTAAGAGTTAACCCTTGCAGAAGTCTGTACCCCACACTGACTCTTACCTGTAGTGCCATTTTGTCATTTCGCCGGCATTGTTAGTGTTTTAAACATGCCACTTTTTATACCACTTTGGTTTTGTTTTTCAACCAAACTGATATAAACCAAACCAACTCAATCGGGTGCCCCGGTTTCGTTCTCAGCCGGCGACTTGTGGGAACTCAGTCTAAAGTCAGCATCGTTGCTACAAGAAGACACTCACCTTGCATTCATTGTTTTAACAGGCACTGGTACAAGGGAGAAGATAGAAGGAACTCACACAGAGATCAATGCAGACGGTGCTGTAGAAATGCTGACAGGCTCTAAGAACGTGATCATCACACCAGGTTATGGACTAGCTGTAGCTAAGGCACAGTATGCCATCGCTGATATGGTGAAGGAACTCAAAGAAAGAGGACTCAACGTGCGCTTCGGGATCCATCCCGTAGCGGGACGTATGCCGGGACAACTCAACGTCTTACTAGGTAAGTATAGATACCTTCTTGTGGTACTCGTAAGTGATTAGCTTAATTTGGTCGTTTTGTACCGTGCTTGGCGTTTTGCAGCTTAGCGGTGCTTTGTTAAGGTAACCGGTGTCTGTAAAGCGTAAACTCTGTATGCGAGCGTGTCACTCGGGTAACAGATAACAAAGTTCCCACAGGCTAGGAAATGATCACAGAAAAGTCAGGGAATTTTATTTTACTGAATTCTGGGAAAAGTTAGGCTCGATTAGTCGGGGGAGGAGCGCGGGCTCCTTTCCCGAACAGCGGCTGGTAATCGAACCTGGGAAAAGTGGCATTTTGAAGAAAACTCAGGGAAAATTGAAATTAGAACACTGGTGAAGGACGGCTGTACATTAAGGGGAAGCTGGAGGCCGCCACCCTATCTGGCATTTCGTATTCGTTTGGTCAGGGAAATTTTATTTTTATCCGGGAAAAGTCATGGCATTTTAAAAAGTGGTGATGGAAAAGTGTCCGTTGTCTTTATTATTGGGTATCAAGAAAATATCTGAGAAGAGGATATATATTAGAAGGGAAAATATATGAGCTTTTCTTCGGGACAAATAGACTCGCCGTACTAAGCGTGTGTCCGTAAAGCGTGGTTCCACTGCAATGATGTGTACCAAACCTGCTAATGGAAACTGATTCAGTTTGCTTTCCTTGCAGCTGAGGCTGGAGTGCCGTATGACATCGTGTATGAAATGGATGAAATCAATGATGACTTCTCTGACACCGACCTCGCTCTGGTTATTGGCGCAAACGACACAGTCAACTCCGCTGCCCAAGACGATCCAAATTCTGTGATCGCGGGCATGCCTGTACTAGAAGTTTGGAAAGCAAAACAGGCAAGTCGCTGTACTTTATGCATCCGTTACTGACTCTTAATTGTCTTTTTTTCCTTGGTATTTATGGAAGGGGAAGCGAGTTTTGTTTACTTTCCTCCTTCAAGTTTTCGGTATTAAAGCCAAGCAGTTTCTTTAGTGATGATAAACAATCCTATTTGCGTGCATATTGAAACCTTAAAGCCATGTAAGACATGTTAAGGTAAGGTCGTTTTAGAGCGGTTTTCAATAGCACACTTGCATGATGTCGTCATTTGACTACAACTACCAGAATTCATTTCGTTTCTCCTTTATTATTCAAACTATTCAACCACAAGGGGGTTTAAATGACAGTTGCACAATCACCACGAGAAAAAGAAATCGAAAAGTATTCTGGTACTTGTAGTCAAATGACGGCTTCTTGCAAATCGCCTATCGAGTGTCGTACACCCAAAACCAAACTAATTACCTACCAACAGACCAATTTCGATATATTAAAATTCAGCATAAAACAATAAACCATAGCTTGAGGCTCTGGGGAATAACTGCAAAGTTTGTGGGGTGTATTCCCCTGAGCCTCAAGCTAGGGTCTGTTGTTTTAGGCTGGATTTTAATATATCGAAATTGGTCTGAACCCATCTCAAACCGTTGTAAAACCAAAACCAAAAACAAAGTAATTGTCTGATTACTTTCGACACTCAATTGAAAACCGCTCTATCAGACCAAAGTGAGAGACATCACTATTTGAGGTCAAGTTGCTTGTTGGCCGGTGCGCAATGGGTCTTGGTTAATGTAACAAACGCAATGCATATTTGATTGACAGGTGATTGTGATGAAGCGTACGTTGGGCACTGGTTACGCGGACGTGGATAATCCAGTATTCTACAAACCCAACACTTCTATGCTCCTGGGTGACGCTAAAACCATGTGTGATGCTCTCCTTAACAAAGTCAAGGATCACTATGGCAGTTAACGAAAGTGCAAACCTTTCTCTAAATCAATTGTATCAGGATAATTTTGTATCTGGAAGCAAATTCAGTTGCGGTTTTCATAATCTCTGTTTGAAATTTCTATTATAATCACCATATAGGAAGTAATGTCAAGTAGTTTTTGGTTAGGTAGAAATGTTTAAAATGTTCCCTACGACCAAAATCGCCAGATGGCACACGGCTATTTATTGGCTGGTCTTAAGTTTTATTTCATTTTCACACTTTCTTTTTCTTCCAAATAATCTTCGTGTTTTCCATTGAAATACCTTTTACGACTGCAACCCGTCTGTAAAAGTTGACTGAGCCCGCGGTTTACAAAAGAGGTATTGCTAGGCAACTTCTCTGACGTACGCGGATTGCGTTATGTTGTCGCGACAACGAACTTGGACGAGTACGCTATTGTTTCATTATGCAACTAAAATAGAAATTTTTCAGTTTAACACCATTGATGGTAATTGTTTCTCATACGGTCCACAGTGCTACCAGTAGCTATTCTTTCTCACCCTCTCTGCTTTTAAAACTCTTCCTTTCCAGCAAGTCATATTAAATGACGCCAGTCGGTGATCGGTAAAATGCCAGAAATGTTTGCCGGTCAGCTCGCCGAAAGCGACAGTTACGGTAAAGCAGCCAGACATGTCTCTGTTATACTTGAAACCACACATCGGTAAAATTTGTTTTAGAAACAACGGGTTTTCAAAGCAACTGTACAGGTATTTTTCAAGTGTCTTCCTCCTAGAGTGCTAATGTAACGAATGTGCAAAATAAAGAGTGCCTTTTGAAGGAGACTAATTGCGACCTTAACTTTTCCAGTAATCTACAAAGTAACTCTGAGTTGAGTCTTACTTTAGAAAACTAGGTTGGGTAGAGTTACTTGGTTAAGAAGTTTTCACCGTTTTATACGTCTTAAAGATGATTTCCAGTCTGTGCTGCGCACTCCCGAGAGTTTGTTTGCGTTTTTTGTTTTGCTTCATGTAAAACATCACAAAATGTAAACATTTCGCAACTACTTACATGAAGTAAATTCAAAGTTTCAAAACAACCGCCATTATGGATGCGAAGCGGTCGAAGCTTTCTGCTTCGTTCTTTCTCATATCACTTGATGAAACAACTTCGCAGCTGTAAAAATCAATGAAGCTGTTAGAAAAAGAATTTGAAAGGCCTCAAAGATATGGTATATGCAAAGGGGTACCATAGCAACGGTATAATCTGATAGAAAACACCCTTATTTTAGCTTTGAAGGGTTATAACTCACAATGTGTCGGGTGTGCCACCTGAAGCAATATAATGAAATTCAAAATTGGCTGCGGTCGGTCTGGTATCTCTATATGGCCCTTACGCCATGTTATTCCGCGTTGGTCATAGCAATTTATTTCGCGAGTCCACACAAGTCCACAACCAAGAAATAACAAAAAATAATCTTTATTGAGTCTCGCCCCATTAGCAAAGGGCACAGCCCTCGAACGCAAAATATTGATAAGTACACACACACCATGGCGGAATACAACCAGTATATCATTTTCTACAACACTCTAACTACTTGAGGAAATTTAGATCTCAAAGGTTTCTTAAAGAATAAAGTCAAACTATGTGAAGTCCTTGTCCAGTAGAAATTAAATGTACAACCTCGATATAACAGACGAGTTTGTTCGTAACTTCTGTAGCAAATGTTCCGTAGGCTTTTAAAAATAATGGTTTTCCCTTTTAAGAAAAATATTTTCTTGCCTTTGTTGGAAAAACTATTTAGTCTCGTGTGAGATTAACATTTTAGTTTGAACGTAAAAGTTTTTTCGCAGTGAAAGACCGTTTTGGCGAGGTTGTTTTTCTTTTCGGCACGTGATCTAGTTGCTCGTCATTTTGAGAGGGTTTGACTAACCAGTTTGAAGTGGAAAAAAAGAAAATCATTTGTAATCTGGCAGCGTATCGAGGTGGTTTGAAGAGGTGTGCAACGGCATGCAAACATCAAGCTGAAAGGAAAAAACATAAGCGTGTATCAAAACGTTTTATCAAACCGCCAAACATACACTCTTTGTTAAGGATGTATATTTTTCATGCCCAGGTTAGTTGGATAAACGTGTTTTTTGCCGACTTCAGGCTGAAAATGTTCTTGCCTACATTCTTAGATAACTGATTATAGTAAATGTATTTCAGTAGAATTGAAACGGATGTGACCAGGAATTGAACTATCAAATAGACCTCTACGGTGTTTTCATCGTGTTGTATTGCTCACTTGATTAATCGCCTTACCTTATACTAGTTTTAATCTTTTTATCAGCTAGTTATGTTAGAAAAATGAAAAAACAACAAGGGTTAATACCTTAATACCCTCCATATAAAACAGTATTAAAATAAACTTACCGTCACAGCCATATATCTCAACCCTGAGACAAATCTCGTTGTACCAGTGTGTCGGCTCAAATCGAACGTAACGAGCGATAAAAGGTGCTGGCGCCTGGTTATATTGAGCTGAGTTCATATCGAAGTTTGCGGCAATCGCCTAAAAATATTAAATAGAAGATCTATTTAACAATTATTCCACGAACGCGCTTTGGATATGAAAATTAAGCCAACGCGGCGCGCAGCGCCGAGTTGGCACTAATCATTTCGTATCCAACAAGCGCGAGTAGAATAACTGTTTTACTAAAAACGCCCCTAAAATATAGAAAACTAAAATAAAATTACGCGTAAAATTAACTTATGCGCACGCTTACCATATTTGTAAAGCATAATATTATGGTTCATATACCATAGTAGCTAAGCCAATGAAAAACTCTTGATTTGCGTGCTGCAATGATCCAGTTTTTATAATACGTGTAGCAAATTTCCTCTTCTCAAAGACCAAGTACACAAACGCTTTAGGCCGAATTATTCTCCCAAATTGTTTCATTCTGTTAGCTGTAAAACCATTCAATCTTCTCCTTAAATCCTTATTAGCTTGAGTCCAATAGAGACATTGTAAACGATGCGTTGATATCATGCTTAGCTAACTGAGGTCAACCACGCAAAAAAATGTGACCGACAATTTGCCATGCAGGCCTTTCCCGGTTAGCTATGCAGACTTGCTCCTGTCCATGTCGATGTCCTCATGCTGTTCTCATGGACTCATATTTATCCTACCTTTCCATCGAAAGCCTGTTTCCAGCTGTATTTATCCAGACTGTACCACACTTCAAGGCGTGTTGTCCAAGCGTTGACAAACAGGTCCACTTTCCCCTGCGTTGTAATTCCTGTCACTTTTTTCCTTCCTCCAAGATCAATCTTAGCAAGACAACAGTCAGTAAAACACATATTGACCGTATATATTAGGACAACTTATTCTCTCACAAGCAAAAACTAGACGCGACTCAACTGTTTAAAGCTTTGTAGGCTCTCCCTTCCCGGCCTCGAACCCCATTCACAGCTCTTTTAATGTCCAAACACCCAGAATGGACGAAGTGGGTGCATTTTGCTCGTATTTAACAATTGAAATGCGTGTACTAACTAAAACGGTTATTGTTTTTACAAACAATTTCGACGACTGTTAAAATTTCATGTATTATAACAATTTCTGTGGTGACACAACATGTTAAAATTAAGGTGGTGGTGAAGAGAAATTGGAAGAGATTTCCCAGCTAACTCTGACTATTATAGGTCGGCGAGTCATTCGTCAAGTCAATTTTAAAACTGAAAATGAGATCTCAATTTTTGATTTACATAGCTTTTTAACACACTAAACAACAAAGTACCTAATCGAAAATGTTTATTTATTTTTTTCATTTTGGTAGAAAAAATCCAATTGTTTCGCAATCGAGATGACAGAAGCATCCCAGAGGGAGGGAGTCCACGAGCTCTATCAGATTATTGCCTGCTAACTCCCCCCCCCCCCTCCTTGTCCCCCAAGATGCTCATACAAGAAAACAAACCGTCCCGTAAATGGATGAGCTCACCTGAAGCCACTCTCCTTGTTGGTGACTCTGACTTGCGCACCACGCACCATTACCCGAAGCACTGGCCATCATGTGTAACCTGGCCTGATGAGGCTCGAAGTACGTTTTGTGTGAACTGGCTGTAATTTGTGAGTCACGGATTTTATTTGACTCCATGCCAAACGCTTTGTAACAACCTGCACAGGCAATGAAAAACATGGAGTGAACATTAATGAGCATACACCTCTTACATCTTTCTTCAGGAGAACTCAGTTAAACGCACTTTCACGAAATAACTGATGTGTTAAGCACTCTCTGATTGTTCAGCCCCTGATGATTGTTGTAAATGTTAACCTCGTGGCATTAATACACAGTATCCTCCTATGAAGGACCAGTGCTGGAAACTTCAACTTTACCAGATTTCAGTACCGCAGTTAATTAGCTTTTAACAACTTCGAGATGATAATCAATTATTTCTTTTGCTTGCCGACGAAGCACGCTTCTTTGGAAATATAACGCTTTGTCAATGAAAATTGCGCTCATTTCAATAAAAAAAATATTGTAGTGCAAGAGAAAATGAGGATACTGTTCAAATCGCATTCTTGCCTTTTATATTTTACAAACTCGGGCAAACTATACTTACTTGGGTAGCCTGTGCAACTGTACAGTAAATTAAGCTGTGCTTTGTCAATCTCAGAAAGGTCGTCGGACCCTCCTAACGGTATATAAGATCCTGCACGTGCTTCCATCGTGTTTAAGCCATTTTTACTGAAGGCTTTTCTCGGCAGGTGCATCACTGACTTCATATCATAAGGCGCTTCCAGTCTGTCTAACTGGGCATGGGTATATTTTTGAAAGTTGTTCTCAAGCCCTACGGAGCAACACATGGCAAAACTCAAAACCTGCGGGGATTGAATCAAGGGAGTTATGAGGGAACTTAAGAAGGAATCCGCCAGAAGTTCGAGTAACAAGTGGACAAAAACTGTGTACTGAGTTCATTTACATTGTATTGCAAACTTCTGTGCAACTGTTTTAAACATAAAAATCAATTCTAACAACATGTGTCGAAAACAAATTTTAAAGTTCATATGAAACACTTGAAAGTACTCGTGAAATGAAACTGATGATGAAACTTTACCTGTGTTTGCACAATTTCTCTGAACTTTGAAATTCATTTTCTCGAGTTCCCATGGGAAATTGCTTTTGGTGTTATTTCAGGCAACTATTTATATCTTTAGCTTTGAGAAAATGTAAAACAGAACTGTAAAACGGCTATAATTAGTCTGGTCCAGGGTTTTCGTCCATTAAAAACTGAAATTACTCGATTTCCAATTGGATTTTGTCTTAGTGTAGACGCGCGCAGAGGAAATTCTAATGTGTCAAATGTTATACGTTAGTCGCTTCATGATGCGCAGCATTTCTTGTAACGGTATCATAATAAACGATATCTTATATGACATTGCCCATATTTACCAGGCATGATATTTTCCGGTATAATGACGACGTACGAGTCTCTGTCGTAACGAGAACTAGTGTGGAAAAAACCTACGGCGTGCATGATTTCATGTAAGACAGTACCAGTTATACCACATCCAGCTCCAATGCTGATTGGCTGACCACCAGACTTCTGCACATTGCCGATGTAAGACCAGCACCTGGTTATGAAAAATATACATATATAATATTTTAACGAGAAATGTTATACATGTCCTGTATTTCACTGTAACTACTTTGAAGTCAGGTCTCACTGAATTCGGTAGAACTAACAATTATTCCACGAGCGCGCGTTGGATATGACACGATAGACAGCCAACAACGTGGTTAGCGCTGAGTTGGCTATAACAATCTCTTATCCAACAAGAGCAAGTGGAAATACTGTTTCATTAAAAACGCCCCCAAAATATAGAAGACTAAAATAAAATAAAAATAAAAACGTACGTCTCCCAACAATTGTATATATTAGGCTTGCCATATTTGTATAGCATGGTATAATTGTTCATATGCCATGATGGCAAAGCCAATGAAAACTCGTGAATTGCATTATCCAATGATCCACTTTTTATTAATACTAGATAAAAAAATGCTGTATTAGTTTGCAGACTCCGATGCACTTTTAAAGGTCTTTATATTACAAATTTCGGGACAATTAAAAAGAGGAGAGAGGAGAGCCACTATTGAAGGTGGGGTTTGAGCCATATCTTTTCTAGCTAACGCGTCATGAAATGAAATCAGTTCATTTGATTAATCGTTATTATGGATAGATAGATTGATTGATTGATAGATAGATTGATTGATTGATTGATTGATTGATTGATTGACAAAGTGATTGAGTAATCGTGGGATTGTTCAAATGACTGATGGATTGACTGATTGACTGACTGACTGACTGACTGACTGACTGACTGACTGACTGATTAGTCAAATGATTGATTGAACAATGAATTGACACCTGAGCAAAAAGGTAGTAAATACCTAAAACAATCTTATACATATAGCAACAAAACTACAACTCACACAGAAATCAAATAGGCCTGTCATTCAATTATCTTCTTTTCCATTTCTAGGATAAACACTATACTGTTTCTTTGTCTGTTTCGATCTTTTTTATTCTTGTAATCTAATCGTTGTTGCTGTCTTTTACTCACCCGTTGCCTCTAATGAAACGAACATAGTATTGTTCACCTGTCCTTGGTATGAAGCGAACACACGATATCCGATGTACTTCACTGATAGCCTCTTTTATGACTTCTTTGTCATGTGGATAGCTATCTAAACAATATCAACCAGGATCATTAGCTATACACTTTTGTTAATATTTTAAGCGTTAAGTTTTCCTTCCCAGTAGATATTTGCTATCGGCATAGGATTCAATACGTGGTAATGGCACAGACAAGTGATAAAGCTACCTTTTCAATTACCACTCAGCCAATCTCTGTGAACTTGTTTCAACACTGATATGGGTAAGATTCTTCCCTTTCTCAATATTATGCCTACGCACTAAATACTTCGCTATAGCTATACTATAACCCCGGAACCATGCTCAAAGACGATAGCAATAAGAATAACGTCAGAACAGTGGTTTCGCACGTGCGTTATACACCTCGCTAAATTATATTAAGTATTGTTGTGCCTGTTTGGAAAGCGAAGGTCAGTTTTTCTTATATATATACTCGTGATTGCCTATTCTATTTAAAACTCTCCAGTTCATATTTGGTTATCGTGCGCAGATTTCGAATAGCCCATTTAAGGGAGTAGCCCCCTCGGATAATGCCGTCACAAGCAAGCCTTAATCCAAGTTCTAATTAACTCCTCATTCTCACCAAACTCTGAATCGATGATGTAAGGCACGCGGCCATTTTTCCAGAGATATATCTTGTTACTCACAGCTCCCCTCGTTGTTACAGGTTCCGTACGGTTCTCTTTCTTTTCTACACCTGTAGCGACCAGGGCTTCTACATTTCGCGACAACCTGATATCACCTTCCAGTCTATCTATGAAACAAAAATTACACGGAACGTTCAGTTCACGAGATAATCCCCAGGGTGTAAAACAATGGACTAGTTTGTGGATATTTGCAAAATCTACAACTGAGAAGATTTGTAAGTCGTGTAGACCGTGATGTTATTTCAAACATGTTCAATTCTTTCACTTCCAAGATAACAACACGCAAGCTAAGTTCACTGAAACTGAGAAATCTATTGACCAAGACGCTAAACGAAATTACTGAGGTAATGACTGTCATCTTAGTTAGTTACCCAGTATGGTTGCATTACCAAACACAAGAGCCATCTCAGTGTAGAGCATAATCCGGCAAACAGTACTTCTCAGTAGCCCATTAAACGGTTCACAGGCGTAAAAGCCAGAATTATCCATGATATCCTGATAACATGAACATTAATTATGCTGATCTTAGAGGCTAAAGCAGTGTCGCAACTGATGACCTCTCAGGTGACCTTGGGGAAAATCTACTTTCTCTTCTCAGTAGGTCTGAACAGGTTTGGTTGCATTTATTGAAGCTGTTCAAATTTCATGACAGCTTTCAGGCGCCTTGTCTGAAACTGATACGCCTGTTTATCAAAGACTTCTCGGCCTGATGTTATAGATATCGTAGAAATGATTTGGCTGGACAAGTTTCTGATCATTGATTAGATTAGCTTAGATCTGCTAGGTTGAATCCCTGAACTGATTATTTCTGACTTTCGAGAGTGTGGACAGTGAAATATTTTCTTCTGCAAGGAATTAACATCATGAAAAAGGTTATTTTGTATACTTAATATCGCTTCGATTCTCATGAAGACCACAAAATTTTGAATATTCATGAGAAAAAAGCGATTCAAAACCAGCGCCTTCAGAACTCAATTCAATCCTAAAAGATAACGGGCCTCTTGTAAGTCGGACACCAGCGTCGATCTGGTCGAGCCTGTTGATGATTCTCAGGTTGCATCAAGAAGTTTTATTTCCTACTTTCACAGAAGTTACATGTAAGACACTTATAAATTTTAGATCGTTCTGGGATCATGACAACTGAAGTCCTACCAGGGAATTCGGCGAATAATATTACAATCGACTGATCACTGGCAGTGAAATGCGAATAGAAATTAGATCATATCAGATCGCTTTTGCAGAACTTTAACAAATTGTGACAAATGTTAATGTTAATTTCAGTCGGTACCCCAATCACAAATCGTCAACTACACTGCTTTCCACTACCCCAGCGAATTCAGCCCCAGACATTGAGCCACATCACAATCGATATATTATAGTTAATTATGGGCGCTGAAATGAGAAACTTGGTGCGCTTAAATTAACATTGCTACTCCCTCACTATCTCGCTATTACCCTATATTGTTAGCACAGTCATTCGCGCTTCTTAACTTTGAATTTCAAATGCCTAAACGGGTCATTTTTTTTTTAAGGTAATCTGCTTAATAGTCATTCCAACGATAGACTAAAGTGTTTCGACTAGCAAATGCATAGAGCATATATGATCACAAAAAAAAAGAATCAGTTATGTTTACCGGGTGTGTTTTTCATTGCCGCCCAAGGAGGTAATGAAGGCTGTTTCAATCCGTTGATTGTAGTGTCTCCATCGCTGTCCGTCTTCTCCAGCCATAAACTAACTGGGCTCGGTGTAATAGGTTTTAGCAACGGGATTATAAAGATACAGATATAGACAGCCTTCATCCTCTGAATCTTCTCGGTGATCAGAGATTTGCCAATTTATCATTCAAAATGGACAGCACTTTTAACCCGAGCCAGAAAAACAACAAAGCAGGCCACGGTTTTAAGCTGGCTGTAGTGATTTTTGATTGACATTTCGATGGCTTTGGGATCAGTTTTAACAGCTGGACTAACACGATTATCATCCATGGGTAAAGTTGTTTTGTTTCTTCTATTGCCTCTTTGTCCAAAGTGCCGAACACCGTTGTGTCATGCGAAATTAGTGCAAGGAGTTTATAATGTTATCTGACAAAACGAACATAGCGCGGTGAGAAAACTGTTGTAGCAACCATGGGATAAACAGTGCTGACTGTCATCACCTAAGAAGGAATAACTAATTTCAAACTCTGCTAAACTTAATGTTTGCCTTAATGGGATAGAATGCCCTAAATTGAGCCAATAATATATTTGACTTCAATGGCAATGTCTCATGATTCACCGATACGACGGGCCCTTTGATTGGCTGAAAATTGTTTATAAACTTAAAGAGTGATGCGGGGTCCATCAATCAGTCAATTAGTCAGTCAATCAATCAATCAATCAATCAATCA